CATATGAACAAAATAAAACAGTTAACTTATACACAAGGGGCTAAACAAATTCCTGGGGGCTTAATATAATTYTGGAGGGCTATAGGCTATAGCCCCTTAAGCTCCCACCTGTTACTTTGCCTCTTAAAAACTAAAAACAGTTGTCACATCAATATGGAAACTAGATTGAATAATAATTCTTAATGTTCAAGGTCTAATAAATTAAATGATTGGGAACAAATGATTTTTTTTTTAGTAGGTTAGGTTACCACTATTATATTTTAATATATTATATAAGTATATAAACAACAAATGATTAAATGTATCTACTCAACTAATTATGATTACCTTTATAATATGTCAACTGTCCATTCAGTATTCACAGGAGAAAAATAATCACATCACCGCCGCAAATGGTAAATACTAAAATCAATTAATACAATTTTATTATAGTTATAGGTAAGAATATATAGACATTTGAGAAAACTCAAAATTAAAATATTATAATATAATATAGTTTACCTTTTGGCTTTTAGACCATCTAGGCGTTAAACAGTAATGTAGCCAATATAGATAGAACTCACAATATAAAATTCTCAATATATAGTATTCATTGACACATTCAACACAACGGAAAATAAATTTCAGGCTTTAATTGATTTAATTAAACAATTACAAATTTACAACTAACGTGAGCACAATATATATAATCAAAAAAATTTGTTTTCTTTTGCGCACGATGCACGTTGTTCAAATGGTTAAGAATTAAGATAAGCATTAAACGATTAAGCCGCACTCCGCAGTCGCCACTAGCGACACTATATAGCTACTAGCATCTATATAGTCACTACTCACTAGTAGGTCAGACGTTCAGTAGTTACAATTTTAGTAGTTGTAACATGTACACGTACTGCACTAGTGCCATACTGAAGAAGTGCAAAACTAGTCGTGTAACGTGTAAGTATAATTCCTAATAAGAAATTATTTCAGAAAAAACATTATTATTTTATTAATTATTATTTATTAATAATATTAAATAGTTGTAATCATTGTATTGTTATCAATTTATATTTTATACCATGTTAAATATTACGGAGAATGGTAGTAAGTTGTCAGAAAATTGATAAAAGTGGTTACCCGGCGGGTTAATATTATGCTTATACGACAACAA